GCAGTCATGAAATTAAAAGACGCTTGCTTCTTGGAAGAAAAGCTATGACAAATCTACACCGTGTATTAAAAAGCAGAGACATCACTTTTGCCAACAAAGATCCATATAGTCAAGGCTATGGTTTTTCCAGTAGTCAAGTATGGATGTGAGAGTTGGATCATAAAGAAAGCTGAGCACTGAAGAATTGGTCCTTTTGAACTGTGGTGTTGGAGAAGACTCTTGAGAGTCCCTGGACTGCAAGGAGATCCAATTAGTCCATCCTAAAGGAAATCAGTCCTTGATATTCTTTGGAAGGACTGATGCTGAAGCTAAAACTCCAGTACTTAGGCCACTCTGATCTACAGAAAAGACCCTGATGCTGGGAAAGATTGAAGGCAGGAGGAGAAGGGGACGACAGAGGGTGAGATGGCTGGATGGCATCACCAACTCACTGGACATGAGTTTGGGTAAACTTCGGGAGTTGGTGATGGACAGGCAGGCTGGGCTGCTGCGGTCCATGGGGTCGCAAAGAGTCGGCCACGACTGAGCGACTGAACTGAACTAAACTGAGTCAAGGATTGGCTCCGTGATAATTCGCTTCCAAAGGCGGGAGACAGGTTGTATCCCTGAACCTGGAAGACCCCCTGGAGTAAGAAATGGCAACCTCGTCTATAAGTCAAAAGTTTTTTCTTTATTGCTGATGGCCGAGCAAGCAGGATTGCTTGTCTTGCACCACAACCCAACCTCATCTCGCCGCACCTGTCCTCCTTTTCGCTCTTCCTCACTACACCAACCACTGGCAGCTAGCGACGCCGAGGCTGGGCAGAGCTTTGGAAATTTTGAAGGCAGAGGGAGGCGAAGCAGAAGTTAGGTGAACTGAAAAGCCTTCTTGTAGCAGCATTCCCTGCCAACAAAAACTCTTTGCCCTGTGCCCTTAAGAAATATGACGTTCGGCGAAGACGCACTTCCGGTCATGGAGCCAAACAAAATCCGGGAGGGCAAGAGACCGGAAGTAGCCGCCCTCGAGCCTCTCCTCCCGCCCCCTCTTAATTTCCCAGCATCTTTTGGGAGAATGAGGCTGCTTGAGGGCTGTGGCTGAGGTTGCGGTTGCTGGGTGACAAGTCGGAGCCCGGACTGGGTGAGTGCCCGCTGTCTCGGCCGCGGATCGGTTCACTTTGCTCGGGTGACCTTCGTCCTGCTGGGGATAGAGGGCGGGGAGTCGTGCACGGGGCGCTCTGTGAAGAGGCGCCGCCGCGGGGTCTGCGGCAAAGGAGAGAGCTGGAGGGGTTGCGAGTGGGGCCGGCGCCCGGGTCGGGCCCGAGGAACCCGCGAGGTCAGTGCCCAAAGAGTCGGGCGGCCGGGTCCGGGCCAGGGCTCGCGGGACGGGGGTGGGGTCTGGCCCCGAGCCCCGCAGGCGGGGCTCCCGCGCCTGGTGTGGAGGACGGGAAAGGCCTTTCTCCAAGGAAGGCGTTCACAACCAGCTGAACCGGGTGGTTATTGTCCCCGTGGTTTCTCTCACAGCCATTCGGTCAGTCATTTCCTGACCCCTTGGAAGTCTCAGCCTTCTTTATGGCTGCTCTGCTCCATTTTACACACATGCACACAAGGATTAGACAGGTGTGTGATCGGTTTTGTTGGGTGCTTTTTATGAGAAGCTTCCACCAAAAATTATTTTTCTTAACTTAAATTCCTTGAAGTTCTTGTTACTTTGGCTGGAAACGTTGATGCTCTTTATGAGGCTTGTCTCCTTATTTGCTGCGATGAGAACTACTACTTTCTAAACGTTTGTATTGCTCTTTTTAAAGCTTGCCTCCTTATTTGTTGCGACGAAAACTAATTTCTAAACGTTAGTATTGCATCAAACGTTCATATGATGTTGAAGTTTTATTTACTCACTCTGCCTATCCACCTCCACACACCTAGAGGTCAAGGTTGATAGACAGTAACTTATTGTTGGTGAACTTGGCTTCATCTCGCTCATCCTGTTCCCTGATGTAGTTAAGTCTAGCATGAAAACAAATAACCCATTCAAAACAATGGGCAGAAGACCTGAATAGATATTTCTCCAAAGAGGACATACAGATGACCAATAGGCACATGAAAAGATGTTCAACTTCAGTAGTTATTAGAGAAATGCAAATCAAAACTGAAATGAGATATCACCTTACAGCATTTAGAATGGCTGTCATCAAAAAATCCAAAGCAACAAATGCTGGAGAGGGTGTGGAGAGAAAGGAACCCTTCTATGTTGCTTATAGGAATGTAATAGTCACTATGGGAATCAATATAGTCACTTTGGAGAGCAGTATGGAGGTTCCTTAAAAAACTAAAAATAGAGCTACCATATGATCCAGCAATCCCACTCCTGGGCATATATCTGCAAAAGGATACAGGCACCCCAGTGTTCATCGCAACACTTTTTACAATAGCAAAGACATGGAGGAAACCTAAATGTCTATCTACAGAGGACTGGATAAAAAAGATGCAGTACATATATTACAATGGAATATTACTCGTCCATTAAAAAGAATGAAATAATACCATTTGCAGCAACATGGATGGACCTAGAGAGTGTCATACTTAGTGAAATGAGTCAGAGAAGGAGAAATATCCTATGACATCCCTTGTATGTGGAATCTGAAAAGAAATATACAAATAAATTTACAAAACAGAAAAAGACTCATAGACTTAGAAAAGGAACTTATGGTTTCCAGGGGGAGGGATACTTAGGGACTTTGAGAATGTCATGTGCACACTGCTGCTGCTGCTGCTGCTAAGTCTCTTTGGTCGTGTCCGACTCTGTGCGACCCATAGACAGCAGCCCACCGGGCTCCCCCAACCCTGGGATTCTCCAGGCAAGAGTACTGGAGTGGGTTGCCATTTCCTTCTCCAGTGCGTGAAAGTGAAAAGTTCAGTTACTCAGTCGCTCAGTCGTGTCCGACTCTTCGCGACCCCATGGACTGCAGCCCACCAGGCTCCTCCATCCATGGGATTTTCCAGTCGAGCACTGGAGTGGGTGCCATTGCCTCCTCCGCATGTACACACTGCTATATATAAAGTGGATAATCAATAAGGACCTACTGTGTAGCACATGGGACTCTGCTTCATGTTATGTGCTAGCCTAGATGGGAGGAGGGTTTGGGGGAGACTGGATACATGTATATGTATGGCTTCCCAGGTGATGCTAGTGGTAAAGAACCCACTTGCCAATGCAGGAGACACAGGTTCAATCCCTGGGTCAGAAAGATCCCCTGGAGGAGGGCATGGCAATCCACTTCACTATTCTTGCCTGGAGAATCCCATGGACAGAGGAGCCTGGCAGGCTGCAGATCATGGGGTTGCAAAGAGTCGGACACGACTGAAGTGACTTAGCATACCTATGTATGGCTGAGTACCTTCAAGGTTCACCTGAAACTGCCACAACATTGTTAATTGACTATACCCCAGTACAAAATAAAAAGTTTAAAGTTTGGGGGGGAAAATAGAGTCACATGCACTCAGAATTTGGCTAGTTTTCATCATCAGCAAAGGGAACTAAAGTAGAAATTGCGATCAAATTTTAGGCAATAGACTTCTCATATTTTAGTGGAATATTGCCCAAAAGTAGTCTTTAATTGTCTGAGTAAATCACTTCTCTCCCGAAAAGAGCTACGTAAAAATATTTAGGGGGACTTCCCTGGTGGTACAATGGCTAAGACACCACACTCCCAATGCAGGGGGCCTGAGTTTGATCCCTGGTCGGGTAACTAGATCCCACATGCCACCATTAAGAGCTTGAATGCTGCAGCTGAAGAGCCCACAAACTATAACTAAGACCCAGCAGAGCCAAATAAATGTTTTGGAAGTTTGTTTCATTGGGGAGTCAGTGTTGCTGAAAAGTGTCATTAACTCACGTGTCTTTAATTTGTACTTTTCTAACTTTTTATTTTCAGCATAATGGCAGAAACTGCTTCTCCACTGAAGCACTTCGTGCTGGCTAAGAAGACAATTACAGCGATCTTCGACCAGTTACTGGAGTTTGTTACTGAAGGATCGCATTTTGTTGAAGGTTAATATCTCTAAGTTTTTAAAATAATTACTTTTGAAAACATATAAAGATCCTTTATTCTTTCAGCCTTGGATACAGAACACATACAGAGCATTGTGCTATATGAGATACCATAACAAAACCCATTTCTGCTGACCAAAGGAGGAACATTGAATTATATTAATAGCAACTAAGAAAGAAGTATATGTGTGAGGTCCTGTTCTAAGCACTTAATAATAGCTCATTTAATACTCAAATCAACACTGAGGAAGATTTTAATCACACTTATTTTAAAGATAAAGGACCTAAGGCACAGAAAAGGTGAGCAGCTTACCAAAGATCACACAACTTGTAAATGCCCAGACTAAAAAGTGAGGCAGCCCACATTTAGCCATTATACTTATCTCCCTGTCAACTCAACAGTTAAGTCAACATCTCAGATCTGTTTTAGTGAAAAGTAAGATGGGAAAGCTGTGACAAACCTAGACATTGTATTAAAAGCAGACATTACTTTGCCAACAAAGGTCCGTATAGTGAAAGCTATGGCTTTTCCAGCAGTCAAGTATGGATGTGAAAGTTGGACCATAAAGGCTGAGCACCAAAGAATTGATGCTTTTGAGCTGTGGTGCTGGAGAAGACTCTTCAGAGTCCCTTGGAGAGCAGGGAGATCAAACCAGTCAGCCCTAAAGGAAATCAACCCTGAATAGTCATTGGAAGGACTAATGCTGAAGCTGAAACTCCAATACTTTGGCCACCTGATGCAAAGAGCCAGCTCAGTGAAGTTGGCTGAAGCTTCAATACTTTGGCCACCTGATGCTGGGAAAGATTGAAGGCAAAAGGAGAAGAGGGTGGCAGAGGATGAGATGGTTAGATGGCATCACCGATTCAATGGACATGAATTTGAGCAAACTCTGGGAGATAGTGAAGGACAGGGAAGCCTGGCATGCTGCAGTCCATGGCATCACAGTCAGACAGAGCTTAGTGACTGAACAACAGCCATTACCTATTCAAACCCCACTCTTAGCATGTGAATCCCTCTGCTCAGTTCAAGATTTGAAGCTCCTGTCAGAATGAAATTATAATTGGTGGATATTAGGTTCTAGTTACTCTGTTCAGAAATGCGTTTTGGTCTTAAGTGGGTATTTTGTATTAGATGAATAATAAATACCCTTTTGGGTCTTCCCTGGTAGTCCAATGGCTAAGACTCTGTCCCAGTGCAGGGGACCTAGGTTCAAATCCTGGTCAGGGAACTAGATCCCATATGCTGCAACTGAGACACAGCACAGCCAAATAAATAAACATTTTAAAATTAAATAAATGCCCTTTTGACTGGACCCCTGTAATTTTTAATAATTTTGTAATTCTGAGCAGTATTCCTAATGACCCGTTGCAACAAGGCATTCATCTTTTACCAAATATTCAGATACCATGCCATTTTTATTTTCAAATGTCATGTTAATATAGAACAAAGCCAAAATGTATGCACATCTTAAGTATTTTATAATTACTGGAGTGGGTTGCCATTTCCTTCTCCAGGTATCTTTCCAACCCAGGAATGAAACCCAGGTCTCCTACACTGCAGGCAGATTCCTTACTGACTGAGCTATAAGGGAAGCCCTATAATTAACGTAATATTCATCTATATTATTTTGTCTAATACCATTTTAATTTTACAGCAACATATAAGAATCCAGAACTTGACCAAGTAGCTACAGAGGATGATCTGATAGAAATACAGAGGTATAAAAACAAGCTTTCCATCATTGGTGAGGTGCTGTCTCGGAGACACATGAAAGTGGCATTTTTTGGCAGGTAACTCTTTACTATTCTTCTCAAGCATAGTG